TTCTACTTCCTCAACTGCTGGATCTGATTGTATTCAAAACAAAATAGCTGAATATGATAATATAACGATTGAATTAAATACATGAGTGATTTGGTATAATGGATCATGAAACAGTTATAGCTGCAATGAAAAATTGATATAATTCTAATGCGCAATGCGCATCAAACGGTTTTACTTCAACTGTGAATCAGTTTGCACTATAATATGGATAGATGCGTTGACTTAAACGCTAGATGTTTCTTTGTTTGATCAGACGTTTAAGTTGTCACCTTGAATGGCAGGCAAGCAGCAAGCACGTGTTAATTACATATGCACAACGCCCGTTGTTTATTTGATTTCGTTTCAACACTTCATTGTTTAGTTGAAGTTAGGCTGATAGATGAATAGGTTTATACAACAGAAGATTATTGCTATCGGTTTATTCATCCGTTTAGGTGTAAAAAATACAATCGAAAAAACTTCATAGTTTGTGGTGATTGATTGGTTGATTAAAAACTTATCAACACGATTCAATCGAGAATGTCTTTGCTCATTTCTGACTTTCAATTCATGCCTGCGTTGAAAATTGACAATCTTCATTTTGAGGCCAAACCAAGAACAATTCGGTTATCCAATGGACAGACAATTTGTTGCAAAATTAGGATCGATCTCATCAGTTGCTCGTGGCCTATAATGAGGACACAAAACAACTCAAATGCTTCTCTACCAAATTTGATGCTTCTCAGTCTTAATTCAAAGCAGTATAGGTTTATATGGGAGTTCCTTGAAATGGTTAACAAAGAAACAAGCGAAACAAATCGCTATAAAAATAGCGATTTGTTTCACAGCACTGCAATAGCATAAATCAGGGGTGGGCGATGTTATCAAATTATAGTCGTAAGCATTATTTTTGGACCAATTACTTGCTGCAAATGAAGAAGAAAATCGACGAGAAGTGAAAAAAAACTGAAATAAAAACTAAAATATGCAATTTCTTATCAGCAACTCTTCAAAAGTTGATGTTCGAAGAATGGGAAGTGCATTTATTTTGACGTAACAGAATCGATGCATCATCAAATCCGAAACTGATCATTTGAATTATTCGTATTCTCGAATTAACATCGCTCAATGGTTTAGTGAACAAATTAAAAGGAGCAAAAAATAACATAATGCTTATTTATTATCAATTGTTTCACCACAACATTTCCACGGGAATTATGCCATCATTTTATGCTTGGTAAAAAATGTTATGCTTAATAGAAAAAATTGAGTACGATCCTATGGTAACATTTTATTTGCTGACTTGAAATTTATAAGAATTCGAAAAGGTTGCTGCAACATTAATAGAAACATTTTGGATAGTGCCATATAATTTGTTCCAGCGAAATGAAAATAATTAATTAGTTTGAATGACGAGCTGTGTTCAAATGATAACGAAGCATCAACAAGTACTTTTTCGAATGAAGTTAAGCATATTCAAGTCAGAAATGCTTACGACAAGATAAGCCCAGAAGTATTCGTAAGAAGAAATCTCGTTGCACGTTGCAATGATCGGGTAAACGACTAAGGATTTATCTTTTGATGAAAGACTGTGCTTAGTCACATTAGTTGTTCGTGCATGTACTTATCAAGTAGCAGGTACGCATACAAAAATACATCGTTACACATTTCAACATCCATTTAAATGATGCATATGTTTAGTTTTGTTTATATTTATAAACGCCTATTTTAGCATTGCTAAAGGAGAGTGGAAGGATCAATTGAAAAAAAGAAACACATCAATTTCATCACCTAAGCTAAAGCATGACTGTTCCTCTAATCGTCACGACCATATCAAAACAAAACAACGCAATGAGGAGGAGGCATCAGAAGCAATTCTTCAATCGAAATGTCACATGGAGCCTTATTGGACACGCCAAAACAAATATTTAGTCGATTGGCACCATAATACAGTCTCATACTTGATAGAAATACAAACCGATAGATACACAAACGTAGCATTATCTAGCAAGTAGATAATCAAGTAATAGTAGTGAACAATTAATGAAGTATTTATTTAATGTGCATATAAACTACCACTTAATAAATAGTTGATAGCAATGATTAATTCGAATGCATATATCATCAATATAAGAAAAGCGTGATGATAATTCGCCTTCAGCGAATCAGTAAACGAACGAGCGAATGAAACGATGAAATGAATGCAAAAGTATAAAATTAAGCGTCAATGAAGGAATGAAATAAATCTATGAGCAGCACAAGCAAGCAGCCACCTTCAATACCATATAATCCTTTTGTTCATTAAGTGATGATACGCAAACGTTGATCTCGGTTTGTTGCTACTGCTTCTCAAATGCGACCAACGATCTATTAATGACTGCTCTCTGCGATAATGTATTCATTCATGGCTAAGGCTCTTTTGAATTTATTCCAATGATAGATACTATAAATGAGGAACATACGTTTGCGGCTACAAACTAATCCCGTATGAACGTTGTTCACATCTTAATGCTTTGGAGTTGACTGGCAGTAACCAAGTTTCGTCACATGTATTGTCAGTACGAAATTATTCAGCTGTGCAAATAACAGCTTTCGTTCAGTAAAGTGTCTATTTTGTAGAAATATTCTGATGAACACTATCAAGGTGTTTCGAACTCGAAAATGCAAATTTGCACTCTTCGCTAAAGATTCTAAACCAACATTCTTCCGCTTCTTAAGTTAGCGATAATACCATTCTTATGACATTAAGAATGTGCGATTTTCTGAATGTACTCGAAAACAGTCTTCACTGTCCAAGACAAGGGGTGTCGTTAGTTCACAACAAATACAATTTATTTTTGAGAACTCGGCCTTTTCCGGGCATCTCGAGTCTATCCTATCATTTCTGAAGCTTTTGGTTCTTTGCCCTGTTCTGGTAACGGAAATCGTTTGCTAAGTTGGTTTTTTTTTGAATTTCAGCCCTGCATAGCATCCGGCTTACGCTACTAGAGGAGAATCCATTAGCCTGCAGCCTATCAATCGTTTTTCCCAACAAAATACCCAGAACACTCTTCAAGAAATATAATTTTCAATCTCCCTCTGTTTTTAATATTGACGCAAATTTCTTTGCAACAAGTTTTGACACTGAAACTCAGCCAACCGAAGCACTTGCAATAAATTCGTTCCGTCAACAGTAGCAGGCGATACAAGTGTTAAAAGCTAATATGACTGACAAATGTGCTATACGCTCCGTTTAGTTTCGTTCAACTGATTCACCACTTTCTGATTCACCATCAACATTGTTACATTTAAAATTTCCTGGCTATCCACATGTACATGATTATCAACTTCAGCATTTGACACAACCCTTTCATTCATTCACTGAATTAGGGTTGGGTTAGGGTCCCCGAGGCTAGGATTAAGGGACCCCAAACCCGGCTCCCTACTTTTGAAGGCTCCCGAACACTCAGGAGGTTTCACCTTCCCCACAGAGCCTATCAGCTATCCTTGGTGACCTCTGAGACCGACTCAGACATCTTCACATTACCGAAAATAGAGCAATTTTCTGCTGTATAGTTTTCCTGTTCTTCAGTATCACTCGNGGAGGTTTCACCTTCCCCACAGAGCCTATCAGCTATCCTTGGTGGCCTCTGAGACCGACTCAGACATCTTCATATTACCGAAAATAGAGCAATTTTCTGCTGTATAGTTCTCCTGTTCTTCAGTATCACTCGTTCAGGTATTTTTTTCTTATTCGTTACGAAAAGCATTGACATACAAACTGTCTCATATTTTAGCAATCCGTTGAACAACATAAAGTTCACGCTTTTCGGAACTTCTTGAGCCAATTTATTTCCGCACCATCCCACACCCCTTATTCATACAAACATTTCCGGTACTGTTGATTTTCTTTCTAAATTATTTTTGTGCTGAATAATAATTTAATACAATAAAAACAAACTATAATGCCTTAACTCACATTTCATATGAAAACATCCACTAAGTGATATTCTCATAAGAAAAATTACATTTATGCTGCCATGTTCGCTCGCCTCAGAATCACCAGAACAGTTATCACCTCACTTGCAACTGTCCAAGGCAATAAAATTTCTGACAATCCATATTGTAATACAAATTTCTATCGCTGTATCCATTCACTCTTTGATTCAGCTCTAAGAAATAACTGTCAAATAATCTGAATTGGTATTCTGATAACATTTCCATTTACCTACGACACCTTCAGAAAACGCTAGTAGACTCCATCCCCATGTCCAATAAATTTAAGTAAAATTTCAGCGCAATATTGATGACTTATACGGCGAATATTACAAAACTCCTGCAGAACTTATGCAAATCAATCTTCTGCCATTGATCTTAAACGATCCTATGATCTCATGGATAAAACAGGTCCTTAGGTATACCATATCAAAAATTCTGTAGCCATAAAACTACGAGAATATTAATTGATAAACATCATTAATGTCAAATTTTTGGACTCAACATTGAGCACAAGCAAAAATAGGTTTATAATGATCAGAATCACCGAACAACAATTTATTAATGCATTTCAACACAATCAAACCATAAACTTATACATTAAACGAACAAATAAATTTACAGCTCTCATCAACAACCACAAAACAGCCGTAATTGTTACCTGTATGCCTTATTAATGCTCGATTGACACACGCGTACATCGCCAAAACAATCGTTAAATATGCCTGATTACAATAACAATGACAAAATAAGTCTAATTATACAGCACAACGATGAACAGGTAACTGCAATATTTGACAGTTGAACAACAACAATGGCAATCTAGATTTGACTAAGCCAATCACATAATCAATTCTTTAAAAGCCATAAAATATATCTTACTTCAGATAATTCATTCTTCTCGCTGCTCTTAACGCATTCGAATGGTGTGCCGACGTAAGATGAATTTTTACGAAAACTCGAACTTCTGATGAAACTTCAGGTTTTTAGAAATCGACTGATAATACAAAGATGCGCGAAAGCATCCGCTTTGCCACCACATTCTTTTAAACATTACCAATGCGTTCATAATTCAACGCAGTGAATCGGAATCGAATTTCGTGTTTTTCGCATAATTCGGTATAAAGACACTGCGCTGTCGATAACCCAACTCTTTCTCTCGAAAATATATCTGTCTCAACTCCACTCTCGCCACTAAGCTTTCTTTCCTCTTCACCAACTTCTAAACAACACATTTCTGTTTCAGGTCATTTCCCATCCTTGAATTTTCTCTCTTTCCATCAACTGCCAAGTTGTAAGAGCCTTTCAATTCAGTAAACACCTAAAAAAGATTGCTCCCTCCCCAAGTCGTTTACAAAATATCCGGACTCACTAAATTTCTCTTCACAACATTTAAGAAAATTATCAATTGATGAGATTTCAAAAGAAAAACGATTAAACACAACGAAGAGAATGAGCCAAATTGTTGAGCATTGTACACATCGAAACTGCCATCTGGCTGTTGCTAATCAAACCCAATACCATGCTGTGCACATTCACTGGAGATACCTGTAAAATTTGCTGATTAAAATGACGCAAAATGTTCGTTTATTTTTGTTTGAAAGCAGCAACTCAGCTATACAAAGTTTTTTAAGGCGTAAAATAAGCTGAATCGTAACCGCAAGTAAAACAAGCACTTACCAATAATTTCACAGAAAGAGGCAAAATCAGTTGTTTGGACAAGCGCGTTATCGAATTTATTAACGAATTCAGAACACTGCTTCGAGACGCTTGTCACGTTTGCTCGAAGATATTGAATTCGATCACTGACAGATTCCTTGAATAAAATCAAAATCATTCCAAGAACTAAATATCAAATCAACATTAATGAGTAAAACCCATGTGATATGATGTAATATGTTCTTTACCTACCTAATCCGATTTGGAATCGAATTTTCTCGTCATTAGACGAAACAAGCGATGTTCAACGATCGACTATTATCTAAGAAGAAATCGAATCTCCAAAATGAAAGACGAGAAACAAAAGTTGTAATACGAACTAACCGGTATGATTACTGTATGGAAGTGGTTGATGATTGCCCAAAGAAGTAATAATGGCTTGGCATCATCCCATTTCGATGCAGTGCTGTGAATTTCTTGCAATAGCGAAAAGCGCTGCTGATTCCATTCGGATCGTGTATCGGTGTCGATCAGCGTCAAACAAATACGTGACTCAATTGAAGATGCTAACTGTTCACGTAATGCCTTCAGATCTGTTGTTGTGTTGCCACTCGATCTTAAATGCAACGCCAACAGAAGAAGGACACTCAAAAATTGTAAGTTCGACTCACGACCGCCACCATGTGACAGCTCCGAGAACGACCGATACTTAACGAACCGATCCAACAACTGTGTCATATCCAGCAGTACGGTTTCGACGCTCAACGTACCAAATCCAACGGCTGATTTAAGGTCGTTGCTTAGTCTGGAAAAATCATTGAAACTGGAAAATTTGAATAATCGATTGTTTACTCATTGATGATCATCCTATACCACTTATGTGTGATGTGTTAATGCTGCTGAATCAGTTGATACGATTTAGTCGATTGAATGAAATCATAAGGAAAAAAACATTCACACCTTTGCAGGGCATTCGCCATGTCCGTATCTTTCACAGACACTGACCAAATGGGCACCATAATGTTGCATTTGGTATTTGCATTATGAAGAGATGCACTTGACCATTCATCACGACCATTCGCCATACTACAATTGATTCTGCGAATCATTAGCAAGCTTCTCAACAGTTCGAGAAATGTGGAAAAATGTTATCAATGGAGAATTTAAGGAAGATATCAGTTAGAGAACATAGAATGTAAATGAATTCACAATGACGTACCGTACAGCTAATGTATGACAGTCGAGATGCACCAGATTCATCTGAGAAACAGTCGTAAATGAGTATTTGTGACCGCTCACAGGCGTACTAAGCTCCTGTCGACTTGCGAACGCATAAACCTATAAACTTGCGAAACAGATTACACATTATGCTGATCGAATTTCTAGTTATCCGAAGCAGTTCAGATTAGACTCAAGTGTCAGTATAAGTTGAACACAGCAAATATTTCTCGTTTCATATCCTCTCAAAATGAGCACTAGCAACCATTCAGATTTCATTATACGAGAATAATTCCCGACAACAGAATGGATAACATCAGAATTTAAACATACCATCATCACCTTGTCGAATACATCTAGTCCTTCACGACAAATGCAACATTCACTGAGCACATCAAAAGTTTTGGTGGATGAACTTGCTTCTTCGCCAACTTTACGAGGTGTTATCTAATTTAGAACTGATTGACTCAGCAAAATCAAACATCGATTAGGGCTAACTGAATAAGACTCTGACAACAGCAACTTTCTTCTGACAAATAACAACAAACTCAATTCTGACGATCACTCATAAACTTTACACAATGAAATGATAAATGAAACTAACAACACTAAACTTACCCTAACTTGCCCTTTTTGGCTGACTTGCATGCCCATTTTTGACAACTGCTTTTGTCGCATTAACATCGCTAACTGACGCTTCTTCGCCTTGGTTTCCTGTCGTACTTTCTCGATCTGTAACAAAAATAAAAGATTTCAAGGGTGCTTTTATTCAAATTCGATTATTCCGGCGAAAGTTCACGTTTCCGAGGGTTTTCATTGTCTTCCTAGGGTGGACGTCTGGTTTCGCGGATTCTGATGACTTGACGGATGAGAACATTCTGATGATTTCGTTTCACACAGTTCTCTTGCGGTTTGACCCATTGAGCCGTGACTGAATGCAAAAAGTAGCACTTGTCGAAAATGCGTTTTTTTCATCCACCTAACACTTCATTTCATCACGTTGAAAAGGAAACAAAACTACAGTAGACTGTCTAATATAGCAGCAAAGAGCAGAAAACACACCATCGAATACTATATGACACTCCTCCGGGAACGTGGACTTTCGCCGGAATAATTGAATTTGAATGAAAGCGCACGAACTCACTCACCAATCCAATAAAGTCAATGCTAATTCAACCATACACATTCAAACAACCGAGATCTATATGAAAGCTAGTTTATGAATTACCTCACTTGCAACCGTCTCATTTTGCTTTAGTTCTTCCATTACATTCTCGGCTAAAGTGCCGATATGTTCAGCGGACGAAATTTGTTCAAGACGATGTAAAATTGGTAACGTGTGCTCAGCAATTGCTTCCTTAAACGAAAACTGAATGAATGAAACTGAAGCGTACAAGCAAATAAAAGTTTCCGTAAATTATCTGCAGCAGTTCGAATAATCGAAGTAATCAATGCGAAACTGGCAGTGATAAACACTCATCAAAATAATTAAACATTCACCAAAATAATATGTTAAACTCCTCAAGCACATCATGTTAAACTAAATTAGTCAGAAACAAATGATTTTGATAATAAATATAAACGAATGATAACATTATCAAAAGACAAACCTGTGATGGCTTGTGCGTTCGCGCCATTCCGGCAAGCAATTTGAGTACATATTTAAGTGCGGCTCTGCCGAGAAACTGCTTCCATTCTGGACCCTCAACGGACACGTTGAAGAGCGGTGGATGATTAATTGAAAGATAATCGCACGCACAAGCCACAATACCCGCGTCCATCAATTTTCTCTTCAAAATCGCTCCAGATTCAGAAGCAGGAATAGCATACGTTATACTGCACATAGTATCCAACTTCTTCGTCATCACATCACGGAACGCACGATCTCTATCTGAAGCAAAATTCATTATAAGCAAATCTATTTTATACAAAAATCAAGATATTGATCAAAAGCATTTAAGACCAGTTATCTCCCAAATAAAAATAATATCAACAACCAACTAAAGCCAGTGAAAAGGAAGGCTAATTTTCAAAGCACTGATACCAAACTCAACATACCAATTTTTTCCCAATCGCAACACGGACGGAATATAGCAACAAGTGCATCCATACTTTCGTTATTACCAAGACATAAATTCGGTACAAGTGTGGTAACAGCTTCCCAAATCGGTGCTGGCAGACTACGTTCGGACAGTTCCAATAACCACGACATTTGTTCAAATTTAGCACCAACGATTGAATGCAACTGCAATGAGATCACCATCAAAAATAAATTAACGAATTTGCAATTCACCACAAAACGTTCGTTTAGAGAATTCATAAGCATACACGCAAACTTATGATTTTTATTTATTTATTTAATCAAATTATAATTATAGACTCGTATATGTATTCATTAAGACAAACTGTAAGAAGTACAGAAATTCAAAGCTGCAGAAATAGATTTTACATTAATATTAATCACTCCGTAATGAATGATAGAGAGTGAAAATTATAAACCAGAAAAGGAACAGAATGATGCCATTACTATGAAACTTCATCAGAAAATACCTTATGAACACGATCTTTCGCAACCACATCCGTCAGTAAGACCTTGCACAACTGTAACGACTGCAGTGCAATCGTATCAAGCGTCTCTTCTCTCACACCACTTTGATAAATCCTTTCGAAAACTTGCAATAATCGCGAAACAGCACCATTTTCGATTAATTGCCAACGATTCTTCTCCATCTGTAATATCTAATATTTAACACACTCTGTATTTGTTCACTTCTTGTTTCATCAACAAAACATTATCGTTTTATTATCAAGGTTAAATTATATTTCTAGAATCGACTTACATTTTATTGAAACAAAAAGTTTCAAAAACTCAAAAATGTGCTTTGTGTTGATCATTTTTAATGCTTTAGTAAAAATACTGAAAAGGAGATAAGCGAGAATATACGCAATAGTTCAAGTTATTTATTTTACTCGAAATCTTCTCAAGTTCACCTTAACACAATAGAAGAGCAATTGATACATGCGAGTGATGAGGTTCTTCGTTGCTGATGTTAATTCAATGTCATCAAGTAAACTGATCACCACCTTCAGTCCATTAAGTTCACCAAATATAGCAGCAAGTCGTAGTTGTGCATCGTTCACTGATTCTTTATCTTGAATGCATCGACAATATAACAATTATTGAAATAATTATACCGTAATCAATGCAGTGATGTACAAATAATCACATATTCAAATCACTTATTGCTTATGATGATGTTTACATGAGAGTATCCGTTTCACGTTAATTATACAGTGACTATATAATTAATGATAAACAGAAAATGCGCAATGAATTTTCTGATAAATAAAAAAGATAAATTAACAACATACTACTGGTATCAGCTAAGGATTGAATGAACGGTTCAGTGGCATCACCCAACAGTCCACGCATACGATAAACTATAATCATTGGTTGGTCAGGATGATCCCGACGCCAAAGTTTTTCATAAACTTCAGCCACCGGCAAATCAAGTGCTATTATCTGCTGGTTTATGAGCAGCTGAAAATGTATTTGGTGTAGAATATGCATAAAGAAAATTATCTGCAATAAGATTAGAAATGATATGTAAGTGGACAATAATTGCAAAAGTAGTTCAGAAAGTCAACCAGAGCAAGTTGGCAGCCATATGAAGAACCATTTTACCCAACAAGTATATCTTCTCAGTTTTACGATGAAACTATGGACGCATATTATTCCAATCAGATATTTAACAACACTTTCAAAGAACACTGAATGAATAACCTCCATGCCAGTGTCTTCCTCAAGAAGAGCAACCAGTTCACAATCTCGACAAATTTTGTTCTTGATATCACGCATTAATGGACCCATTCCTGTATCAGCGCTCTTGTAAGGATTGCCTGGCATGCGCCCTTGAAGGTACTCCTCTTGGAGAGGATCTTTCTCGATTTGAATCAGAAAACTCTCTTCTTTCTGAAAAAAATTCTTACGCAAAATTCTCAAAATGCATTAATTCTTACGCCTTTCCAGCTTCACTACAACTATCAATAGAATAAATAATGAACAAATTTATTTGAAAATTCGAAAAAGTTAACTCTACAAAGACACTCTAAAAAGTGAATACATTTGTTACGCACATTCCAAAATACAAAATGGGAAACTGAAAACCTTGACTGGTGGATGAACGATGTCACCAAGAAGATGCAAGAAATACGCTTGGACGTGACGATGTAATGAATGACGCTTGAGGTAGTTGAGTATGGCACGAATAATTTGTTTAGGTGAATTAATAGCAAAACGCATAATTACTGATGTGATGTGTGCCATCACTTCAACTCTACTGCTAAAACACATATACGTTAATTAGTTAGCTGAAGTCAGTTTTTGCACTCGTAGTTGTATTCTTTAAGACTGGAAACAATTAACGTGAAAAACAAACCGATTTTCGTATTCGCTCATAACGCTGAAACAAGCAATAACCTCAAGGAATGTTTCAACCATTACAGCTCCATACTCACGTAGTATCACTGAGTCGTTTGTATTTTTCATATCATAACTCATCACACATAATACAAGCTCTGCAGATAGATTACTAAATTATTTCAATTTTGCATTTGGCAAACATAAATTATATTCAAAATCTTATTATCGGAAAGAATAAATTGAAAATTTGTTTTCTAGCAATATGACAGCAATATAATTTCCGGGAATGATCATTAAAATCAATTTAATTCGCATCAAGTGAGTGAGAATTTCTTTTGCTCGACTTCCCGTCAATTATATACTGAAAATGAGCCGTGATCTGAATAAAAATGCACATGTGCGGTTACATTCATAAAACGAGAATCAATAAGCGTTTAAAACAAGGACAATAAAAGTGCGAAACACACCGACTAGTTGCAGCACCGAAGAGCCGAAACACAAATCACCTGGTAGACCTTCGTTTTTGTGGTTCATTAACAGTTTACATTCCTGTAACGTGATAACAGCTGCTCATTATTCGCATTCACCATGCAAAACTTGATAATAACGTTTTATATCCAACAACTACTGATCAATTCGAATCTTCTGACAAATTAACAAGTAAGAAGTGACTCAATAATGGTGGTACTTAAATAAATTGCTTAGCAAAAAATGAATGGTGAACGACAAAGAAACTTTACCTTCCGAATAAGATTGAAAATTCGACTAAGCAGTTGAACTGGTTTCGATATAAGTACTTGACGAACATCTCTTAAACTGACCAATGTACGCACCAAACAAAAATATTCTTCTCGATGATTCACGTTAACGTTTGGTAACTTGTCGAGCCATAACAATACTCTGCAATCAAATAAATAATTCAAATTACATGCATTGCCTACATAAAGAATCAATCAAAACTTACTGCTATTTTTCATCTAGTGCTTGTGAAGCTTCTTATAAGGGAGAATCTTTTTATAGCTCTCTGCTTGTTTGCAGTGAAGAATGATAACAATTGACTCAATCGATACGTATTCCGAACTCGCACGGTCATCACAAATAAAGAAGAAAGTACCTCTGAATGACAAGAGCAAAATCAGTCGCCGAACCATATTCATAACTGCGTTCATCGACTCTATGGAAACATAACGCTAATAACAAACGATATGTCGATAGACGTATACTTGCGACCGGTGAGAATATACATTTGCCAAGCCAAATGTCAACCAACTGCATAATTGACTGTTTAAACAGCATCATTTATTTCAAAAAATGTACGCATTCAGCTAATACTTACTCACGTATTGAACGTATTTTTAGAGGCTATTATATTATCGCTTATTTTTCGTGATTAGTTGTAGCAACAAATTCGAAATTTGACTCTGCATTTAGTTTACAAATAAAGATTCAAATAAACAGATATGCGCAAAATTTTTCTAAAAAATGATCATATAGTGCCAGATAAAGTAAATTGTAAAAATTCATTTTATCGCTAATCACCTTCCTAAATGCATTCATGAAATATATGTAATGAATATCAGTGACAGTCCAAACTTACACTCCCACTAGATTGTTGATCTTGTAAGACATCCTTTGCGAAGTTGAATTCCACGTTTCCACGTCTCTTTTTGTCGTATTTAGTTATCCACTGAGTGCTGCAAACATTATAAAATTAAGCCAAATTCAATTCAAGTAAAAAGGAGGGATGATGAATTAGAAATTACGCTTACCAATGAATCACTATTAATCGAACAATTTTCATTAAAACTCTTAAAAAATTAACCTTTCATTCAGCCAGTCCAAGAACGGGAATGGCTTTGCTGCGACGATAATTTCCCTTAACTTTGATTTATTCCACGATCGCGGTAACAATCGCTTCAAAATTTCATTATCCAAGTCCAAAACCTGCTTACAAATAGTCTTTTAATAATAATATTTACATTTAGTGGGAAGAAGTGGTTGATCATCACACTACAATAATACTTCGAAAACATATGCACAATCAAGGCTCTCTAAACGTAATGAAGTAATAATTATTTGCACGCATACTGCGAACAGAATATAAATGATGATTGTTAAGATAAGTTTCATTATATGTATGATCAGCATCACTTGTACAATTATATCTGCTAACATTCGCATTTTCCTATTCAAAGATAAGTTATCGATAAAAATGATTAATTACACTGAGAAATTCGACAGCAACTCACACGTAAGAAAGTCACTAATACTGTGATCCATAACATTATAAAGAGAGTGTAGAGTGAACTATTCATATGAAAGCAAGTCCAGCAATAAATTAAACGGATAAAGGCATCGACAAAGACTATGACTGTAGTAATTTGTACAGAATGAATGAATACTACGCAACCATTTCACATTTAATGAACAGTGAACAAACCTTAGAAGGGGATCCCGTATCTGCTGTTGCAACTGTTTGCAGCAGTACGGAAGTTGGCTGTGACGGAGATGTCCCTTGGGCAGTGCGCATGAAATGAATATCGTGTAACCGTTTCAGTGGATCATCACTCGCTAACAACAAGTCAACAGGCGGTGAATTACTCAACGATCTATTATCATTTGCATGTTCATCACGAGTCATCGCTTCCACTACATGCGCATGGTGCATACACGGTGAACACAGCTTACGCAGAACACTGATCGCATGCATGTCCACTTCGCTATCGCCGTTACCGGTTATCGCTAATTGCATAAGACATCGTAGTTTTATATCCCAAAACCTATAATAGCATCGAGATTCTAGTCATTCAAAAACGGATTGATAAATACCAAACATAATTCAATAGTGATGATTTACTAAAAGTTAATAAACAAACGAAAATTGCAACTAATAAAATGAAGGTGCAACTATGCCTAAACGAAATCAACGAAATTATGCCGAAACAAAACAAGATTTGTCAACGACGGGAATCAAGGTTAATGACGCACAGAATAAAAACTTGCTGCCGTAAACAATCAAATTTATGACATCAAAAGTGAATGACAGCTGCCGCCTACCGGAAGTTCTCCTCGAGAATCGGTCTTGCCAGTAAGTAGGCTGGAAATTGGTTTTTCAACGCAAGTTGACACATAGTTTGCGTTGCTTGCTCACTTACTTCAGCCAGTTTCTGGATCAATACGTGTATTGAATGTGCTATTTTATCATTGATTGAACATGCATTTACCTAAAACATACATTTATTCGATAAAAACAAATGAAAAATGATCCCTTAAGCCAATCTATGAAGAAACGTTTGTTTATTCGATTGATTGTTTGTAAACAGGAATACATTTACATCTCAGCAACAATCATTTTCATTAATTCAATTCAACACTGAATTAAACGACGTTTACGGTTTCAAAATTAAAAACAAACGAACAAGAAGAGAGAAAATGTGCGAATCGTTGATGAAAGTATCCATTATTTTTGGCTCACTACAAACTGCTTGCAGGAGTGCTATATTGTGTATAACAAGAGCTGACTGACAACCGTAGCAGTTCGATCTGAATAACTTTGTTTATGACTGATTATATATTGCAGTTCAGACTAGCGTTTGCACGTTAGTTAATTATGAAAACGAGAATATGATCGTTGAATCTGAACCAGGCTCAAAATACTTTGCTAGAAAAGAATGTATATAAAGAAAAGTACTTACTGAATGTTAAAAAAAATAAACGAAACACGTACGAGTCAGAATAGAATCCCGTAGCGATAGGAAGTTCGGTCAATTCAGCGTCACCATTCTCCACATCATAGCGATACATTTCAGTTCGTAACGCCACGAGACGCCTTGTTTGATTGATCAGATTCTTATGAAGTTGTTCAGCTTTATTGTAAAGTGATTGTAGATTGAGGCTCTGAAATGGCTTCATCTTATTGCAATGAGCAATTTCTCAACAATCATTCTTTGTTTAAAATAAAACAAAGGACACTTACATCATCCATTTCAACCATGAACTGTATGAAGCGCTCTCGTGATACGTGTCTCATGAGAACGTTTGGTCGCATGTTCGGCTCACATGTCCACGATTCTTTTTCCATTAATTCAACCAGTATTGCTATTTCACATCTATCCGTTTCGATGCCCTTCAGCAGTGCAATTATTTGTTCCCTCGCCTGAAACGTAGCAATCTCGAAGAAAACCAAAAAACAAGTGGATGGGTTGTCCATCAAATGACGTACATCAATCTTCACTTGGCTTATTCAGATTGAATTGAATACGTTGGCTCTTAAAGCAGCCATTGATTTTTACTGTATTCGTATGCGGTCACCATTAAAAGTTACATTTATGAAATCACTCGTGTCATTTCTGCACAAATGCAAACCGTTCCGTTATGAAGAACGCAACTACGCAACGTCTATCAGCTTATCAAAATACCTAATAAAGATAAAGAGCAAGATAAAGAGCAAAAGAACAAAATTCATTGCACTGCTGACTTCACAAGCGTCCATCACAAGACATTGCCGTTTCATCAAAAACTACAATTCCAATACGAACAAAAGTTTAAGAATTACCGCAATACGCTCAGCATCATTCTCAATAGGTTGTACCGACGGCAATGGACGAGCTAACAGCGTTGATTCCAATCGCGCATATTTACAAAAGCCGCATGAGTTGCATAGAAATGGTTCCTAAATTTGAATTTTTTTTCTGATTAGTTGTTTATTCACGTTATTGGTATTCTGATGCTATCTTTGAAATGTTTACAAAACAATTTTAAAAAAAAAGAAACTATCAACTATTTACAATGAATATATCACATGTGAACCAACCTTTTCATCATAATTGATCGCACGACATTTGACACACTGAAAAACGTTTTCACCACAGTTCGAGCAAATGCCTGGATTGGGTGCGACCGCGGTCGTGCACCGTGGACAGTGCACTAACTCGCTGCCACTAGCACCTACTGCGTTCGATGTCTCATAGAATTCAATCATTTCCAACACTATATTACACGTCACGATTGGAATTATCAAATTGATTGCGATTTCAGTTTCGCCTGGTGACACCTTCAAAAACAATTAATAAATAAACAGCTAATAGAATATTTGAAAGAAAATTCAATTTTACGAACCGCTTCTATGTAAATAATAAGAGCAATAATAAATAATAATAATAATAATAATAATAATAATAATAATGAAAGTGATAGCAATAATTTAAAAAAAGACTAACTAGTGGTTTGGAACTTCCAAATTCATTGAGAACGTAATAAGTATCATAAGCACAAGATTTTCACACAGAAAAGCAATCAGTAAACATTAACAAAAACGAACGAAAAACCATTAACATACCTCAACATCGGCAGCCTTTTCCCACAACTCCGGACGATTCTTCAAGTCGACAGCAGATTCGAGTTCTTTATTGCAATAGTTGAGACGAACATGCTTGATCATTTTGGAACGTTTGATATCGGTTAAATGTATTACCACACGCGATACCTTCAATTCAATCTTTTAATGCACTCTCATTCCTTGTCAAACGGATATAAAGTACCAACGACAGGACAGTGGGTGACAGAGTGACAGACTTAAAAAGGAACGCCGTCAATGACGCTGATATCTCTGGTAGCAATAAGGCTGGAACACTCATCGATGTAAATGAAAATTCAGTGATCACTACAAAAAAAAACACGTATCCGTTGAAAAGGAGAAAGTATAACTTCAAAATGTCCCATAAGCTTGATCATTTGTGCAGAGGTTGTGAAACGTGAATCAAGCTTGATCGCGGATAATTTGATGAAGTCCATGTGCACCTCGGGTCTGGAACAAATCAAACAAGCTGTTCCGTTGAAGACCGCAAAATCTGGTGTTCCTTAAAAGAAAAATAGATTCAACTCAACAATTTTGATAGCATCAATTATCCTAACCACAAAGCCAATTCTAACGACAAAACTTGACAAAACTTTTTGACAAAACTTTTTAGGAAATGAAATCCGTTGTGTGCATGTGAGTTCTGGCAAGAAAAAGTCTAATTGTTCTACTCGTTTACTCATACATCAGAACTGATCCATTATTACAACTCGATCTTTTAGAACAGTCTATTTAAGCAGCTTCTAAACGTCAATTTTCGTTTATCATGTCACAAACTTTGAGTCATTTCAAACGATCAAAAATCAGTGACTAACAATTGAAAGTAACACAAAAAAGATAGCATAATAAAACTGTACCGATAATTTTCTTCAATTTTGTGATCAGCACGGATCTATCCTGAGTTTCAAGCTTTGTTATTGCTTCTTCCATTGTTTGCACAACGTTAGCATAAATTGATGCCAGCTCATCCCTGGAAAGTCAGTCTTACGGCTCGAAGAACATTAATGCAAACTGATCATTCATCTACTTTTCAATCGACTTATTACTCAACATATTATATCTAATATTTCTGCTCACAACGAATGCAGTTGAAGCTGCTAGTGACATTCTTGCTGGAATAACACCACAAGTATTCCAGAGAAGAAACGTGAGACAAATTCATAGCTTACATTGTACAGAATCGAGGCGCATAACTGGCGATAATATCAACCAATTGAGCAGCTCTTGATCCCATATGTTGTGCTTTCGGCCAAATCTGATATAAGAGATGACGCATGAGAAGCACTTGATTCGGTCTTTCAGCCAACTGCAACAGCGATCGCAGTATTGCATGCATCGCGAAACGATAAACGCTTTCCTCGTTCATCAGATATCTAGAATTTCAATGATAAATCACTTCAAATATACCACATTCTTGCTAATTTTAGTTTTCATTGTCGTCACAGCGATTACTTTGCATTATCTAAAAAACAGAATTGCGAAAACCAATGTTATTTGTACAATTGCTTTTCTAGCACATATCTTAACATTCAAAACTCCAACAAACGTCTATAGCCACTGAATACATAATCAATCATGTTTCCATTGGAAATTCCGGAAATGTACATAAAATTTTCACCCATTCGTTCATCCAATGTCCTTTCTTGGCAAATTCAAGGAGTTAGAATTTTAAAATGTTTCATTAATCAATGAGATGGAATGAAAGTTTTAAAAAATATTTGATGAATCGAACCTGTTCAAACATCGACAAAGGAGTTTGAAGAGAAGTGGTATACCAATAAGATGGTTAACGATAGCACAACAAGTTCTATCATCGGAGTTATATTTATTTGGACGAAGTGACAGAGAAATGACTTGAAGAACTCGACCACTTGCTTCTTCTGGGATTGTAGACGCCATATTCAGCAACCATGGTAACTTCAACAAAAATAACAATTGATAACGATTAGTACTGCAAACGCACTGAACGTGTCTTATTCACTGATCGCAATCAACACTATGTAATTTACAAGCACATACCTCATAAAACAAAATTGATTCATTGCAGCAATTTGCATGATTTAACTAATTACTAGTTAAAGATGGTATTAAAAAGCCACAATATCAAAAGAAAATATTGATTTTAATCGGCTGAACTAGGCAATAAAAATACTGCAGTAATTAAGTGGAGTGGTAACCAACCACAAGTAGATTCAGTGCTTACCTCGCTTATGGAAAGTTTTTGCCATATGTGTGGACGATGATCAGCCAAATTGCACAGCGCATGCAGACGCAAAACAACATCACTTAGTTCTGTATACTCAAACGAAGAATTGCGATCGAACCGATTCTTCACATAACGTAGCATATTGGTGATCAAATACTTATCACGTACTTCACGGTACTTCTTCTAAATAAGAAATGATTGCGTTTGCATAACTCGACACTCACTGTCAACTATTCGATGATCAAAGCACTGCTCAACATTTCAGTGCTAAGAAAATTCTTTCGAATCCCAAGACGCCTAGCAATAAAGTCAATTCAGAGTTTGTTTCCATTCTAATTAATCTTAACTTAATGGATAGGCAGTTAGAGGACTGCTTTTGGATGAGAAATCACTGCACTCATTTTAAACTGAAATGCAGAACAAAACTGTTGCACGACCGATGAATAGAACTGTTTATAAGCGTTCATCCAAAGAGAGCTCATAATCATTAAGAATGTGGATATCCATCAACAATACCTTATCATCACCACAAAACAATAGTAAAAGACGACGAGCGAGTCGCTGATGTTTTTCTGGTTCACGGTTTTTGTAGTCAGAAAGGAGCATATGCCAATCATATTCATTTACTGACACCTCGGGAAGAATCTTTTTCAACTGAAAAAAATAATAAAATTAACATTATGATGTAATTCAATCTTTTCAAAAATGAACTCTATTTGTTTACAGCTATTAAACGGATGCACGTTTTTGACTCATTACAGCCCATCTATAATTTACGTGGTGAATTCCTCAATTTCACAGATATAATGGGATGGTAAACACAGTTAAAATATATTTCAACTGAATTCGTTTTCCCGAAACAAATCTGAAACCTGAACAAAGTCATGCTCGTTTCGACACATTCACTACGGAACGCTATCCAAAATTCAGCGCTGCGCTGCAATCGTTAAACATTGAACATGGCAACCGACAACGTAAGATTTTAACCGAGAATTCACATGACCAAAGTGGGTTGTTGATGCTTAACAAAAATAATGACGACAAAAAACGAAACGCAAACCAACCGCATATGCTAGTCTCAACGCCGATTCGGTGAGCATCGTCGTATAAGAATCGAACATATCTTCAGCTGCGCGCCCTGCCACCAAGTGTGAATCAAACAACGGACTCATATTTGGCTGCACCTGACGTGGAATGACTGATGTGATCGCTTCGTGATTCGTTCTCGCCGCTGTGCTCGATGACTCAGCAGTTGACCACATTGAGCTCAACACAGCAAAGCAATAATCCATTGCCTGGTACTTCACCTGAGATGTGCATGAATACTTTCACAACAATGATAAGATGATGGAACATTCAGTTCACCTTTCGACCTGATTGAATCGACGCAAAGGAATTAAACAACTCACAAGTTTTTTTGCGAAATTCCTTGCAAATTCAAGAAGTGAATGAACTTCAGCCGCTGAGCCTTGTTGATCGTTTACAGTAGATGCTGCAGCATTTTGCTTCTTCTCCTTTTTCAGTGATTCGGCAACATTCGGTTGCACAATCGGAGACGACGGATCAGTATCAGTATCGATATCTGAGGTCGTTGTAGTATCGTCATCATCATTATCGGCTTGCTGCTCATCCTCAGCCGTATCTCCATCTTCCTCCTCATCTTCGTATACATCCTCCTCTTCGTTAACACTATCCATTGTTTGTTCCTCTTCATATGAATATCCCAAGCCAACATCCTTATCCTCAACACACAATCGAATGAATATTCCTTCATTTCAATAAACTTTAAAGTAAATACAAAGCGATTATGTAATAAACATGAATTGCACAAACACACTTTGTTGTTGCTGCACAGATTCAACGTTTGTAACGCAGCCGTAACACCACTGGCATTCTCCGAAAGCGCTGCTGAGCATAACGACAGAACTGCAATCGCCATGCGGACATATACCTCGTGACGTTCGTTGGCAGGTGTTCGCTCGGCATGAATCAAATAGAACTGGGTACGGCAACTAAACAAATCAACCTGCAATTATCTTCATTTTGCATTCGTAATTATTCAGTGATGGAAACTTTACAGAATCCGCAATTTAAAGCATACTTTTTAACTGATAAACGATTAATTAACGACAAACTCTTCATCCCCGCTAAGCAACTCAACAATCATTACGAATGGACGATTGAAATGATCAAAGTAGATTGTCATCAAGTGACTTAGTATTTCCAAAAGTGATAATGCTGAAGAAATAAAAAACTAATGCTAACAAAAATGATAAGTTTTAGCAAAAAGCATCCGCAAAATCACCAACCACAGGAGTCAGTTGCTCAACAGTGTGTTGCCCAAACAGATGAATAATCATCTGCGCAGCTGCAATACATCGGTATCCCTCATAATCACAACGATCAAACGCGTTTATGACATACTCCAACAGAGTTGTTATCCATTTTCCCGCTGAATTTGTTTGATTTTTTGAAAGAAAAAAAAAAAACAAACCACCGTGAAAACAAGAAAAAACAGACTGGTAATATCCAACGATAAGCAGAAAATTTTCTTCTCTTTTGTCTCCATTCACTAGTTCCATTAAACAGTTTAGTGGAGATGATCAAATACAACCGAATCACTCGATTATAAACTGATGGACAATTACTGCCTTTACCGATACTCGAAATTTGTTATTGATGTGATTAATGATATATGTTACAATCGAGTTGTATGATAACAATTTTTTCACTACTCCGCTACTATAATGACTATTGAAAATCTCTTTTCAAAACACAAAACATCAACGATATTTTCATTTAGACCAAGATTTCTCAAACGAAGATGCGAGATAAGGTATTACCTTCTATACATTAAAGTAGACGAGAGTGGATTCCAACTCATATATGTGTACAAAGTAAGCCAGGATGGATTTCAAAGTACATACTCTCGAAAGGCTAGAACGTACTCTAATGGTATACTCTTATCTACACTACAGACACTCACTATAGTGGATGAAATATACACAGTGAATGTTATGAGGAGTGTGAGGGCATTTTAGTTACTATCGCAGGGGATGCGGAGGGAAAAGGTTGAGAACCGCCGATGTAGACAGTATCGCAACATAATTATCTTTTCTTGCATAGTGAAATAATTACATTACTATTCTTAATTAACATAGCTACATTCAAATCACATACCAACATAATACTTTTCAGCTGCAGTTGACGATTTATTGTCACTTATTTGAGAGGACTGGTTTAATTCGGGCTTGCTTAGTGCACTTCGCAGTATGTCGACGACTGTTGGATTGAACAAATCATTCAGTGATTCTGAACTGACGATCTTGTTGTCGTTTTGAGAAGTGATGAGAGATGATAACGACTGAGTGCTGAAGAATGATGCATTCTGTTGCACGTTTATACGAGCGTAATGGGCAACACGATCGGCGAGAATCTGTTTCGCACGACTTGCAAACAGCACATCCTATAAGTGAAAAGTAGACCGCGATTGTCAACACCAAATATTATATTTATTTGAGATTGGTCCATATAACAAGTCTTAACAGCGAAAGTGCGGTTGAATTTATCATCAATGAAGGATGTGAACTGAAGAAAACCAAAACAAATGTAAACGCGATCACAGCGAACTGCACTACTCAGCGGATATAACAAAAGTCAACTTTTCGACTGAACTTCTCTAAATTGTTGGTTATTATTAGCTCTCTATAAGTGAAAGAATATTGTGCAGATGAATGCATCCTATTACAACCAATGGAACTCTGAATCAAAAAAAAACAACCATCAATTACTTCAGAAAACAATATTGCACCAATATTTGACAAGATCTTTGGTGTTTGCACATGACCAGCCGCCATATACATCGAACAAGTAATCAAGTAACAATCCAGTAATGGTTCACGATCGGTGTCTTTCCAGTGAAATCCCTGCGATAAAAATTCCAAGAACCTCACAATGTTGCCGAAATCTGAAATAGCAACCAAAACCAGTGAACAAAAGGTTCAACTGAAATTGATAAAGAATGATTCGAAAATAAAAGGAAACGTTGATGATAGAAGAAACACACGTTCAGTCATATAACGATGGAAGTTGAGTGGCCTTTTAAGCAGCATTTGTTTGGCGTGTGCAGCGAACGCATTCAATAACGACAATTGCAACGTTTCGTTCTCTTGACTAGATCTCATTCGTGCGAAGAGTGTTGAATCCTGAATATGATAGAGACATTGACCGTTGGTTCAATAAGACGCTGAGTAAGCAAACGAATGACTGACCTTTTCGTTGAAGAAAGCATCTGGATTTGGCGTTAGCACGGCAAGTAGATCCAATGCACACATTCGTAAATGATTATGATAATGACCAGGCGCATCAAACATTGATGCGCATGATAGCATCCAACTCTGAAATTTATAACTTTTGCAAACGATGTACAAAAATTGCACACTTCTTAAACACGCACATTTTGAACGGCAAATGTTCGTTTCAGTGAATGAGGTCACCAATAATCGAAGACACTAATTTTATACATGTCATATGTACACCCCAGAAGAACATCTTCGTTTCACTCTCAAATGATTATGCGAACTCTCAAGATTTACAAACACCAGAACGATAACGTTGTCAAAGAATGCTGTTTTCGTCAACAAAATCACTTAGTACGAGTCATGACTGAAGTGTAAATATGCTCGCATACCACAGTTAAACGTGATTTTGCGTTCCACAAATGAGCACAAGTTGACATGAAAGCTGCACCAGTTCGTTCAGGAAGCGTAAGTGCTTGTTCCAAACGATACGTAGCCGTTGGGAATCCAAAATCTCGTTTCGTTTTGCCGTACACCTTTACAAATTAACATGGTCATAACAATTCGCTTCTCGAATTGCTAAATTACACACCGATCTTCAACTTAATGAAATTAGTGTCCATTAAAATTTATGTGTAATTTCAAAGACAAATTACTGTACGCTGGAGCACAACATTGAAAACTGATGCCTGAAACTTCATACATTCCAGCTGAAGCGTAACACTAATTAAAATGAGGTGTGCTGATTTCATTCATTTTGAAGGAAGCAAGTGAATAATTCTTTCGACGTTCAATAAGACAAAAATTTATACACGGGAATCCTAAAAAATCTTCAAAAAGATGCATATTGCAATATAAAATTGAAGTTGACCGAAACAATACCCCGAGAAATACGAGAGAATAATAAACATACCATCACTGAAGTTACTTGTGCAGGAAGTGTATCGGTTGTGAACGTTAAAGTCACTTCATTACCGCTGCAACGCAAAGGAACCGTTGAATCAAAAACAGCCAAGCCAAATTTTAATGGAAACGATGCTTAACGCTTAAAGTCATTTGGCAGATCCATTCTTCACAAATTTTCATCAATCATCAGTATGTAAAACAAGAAGAATAACAAACCAGCAATATTTGCACATGTCAATTCAAATATGCAATATTGATGAGTAAACAATATACGAACCATTCAAGTGACTGCTTTCTTGTCAATGGGATATCGTAAATGCGTGCTCGAAAAGAACGCAACAACCGATTTTTACCAAATACATTCACACTTTGTGGACAATTCTCAGCCGCAACCTCAACACGTAATCCACAGATCACCATATTCCAATCCAAATTCCTCACAACTATATCGAATTCTTTTTTCTAAAATTTCCATCATTTCAATCAATTACAAATGAAATAAACATCAGTACGATAATAAGTGTTCAATAAAACGTCGAAACCATACTAATGATTACTGCTCCATATTCAGTGAGATACTTGATTTGTGAATGAGAGGTAGAAAAGGTAGCGATAAGATACCTTCAAGCAGACAGCACTCATACCAGGTGACTTCAAACGTTTTGTGAGTTCATCGGCATCATAACTCAATTCAAGCGCCTTACTCCAGAATTGTACCTTCTCGAGTGGAACGCAGCTTTCAAATATAGTCACCAAATCCTCTTCTGATTGCTTTTCTTCTTTGATTTCAACTGTATGTGGGTTACTTTCCAAAACACGATATTCGACGTCTCGTATCCACAAATCCGGTTCATGCTGCCATTCACTTCAATAACAAAACTGCTGAGAGTAAGGTCACGAACCACATCAAAAACAACTATTAAGTCTATCAAATGAAATTTTAGATCACTGCACTTATAACACCGCCACATTCCCTCATTGTGTAAACACAATCAACCCTAGCATGTGTCCGCGAAATGAGTTGAATAATCGTTCGAATGGAACAAATGGAATCAGTTAATTTCGTTGCGACGCTCCAATTTCGATAATCACCCATTGCAATTTCCCGAAAAACAAGCAAAGCGCTTTCTTTAACATTTAGTCGACAACAAATAATCACGTGAAAATTCACAACTTAATATGTTCAAAGAGCACCTAATAGTTTTGATATTCAGACTACAATATTTGAGAAATAAAAACAAAAAAGAGCACTGATGATGTTGACATTTTCGCAAAACTATGACATAATAAATCGACAGAAAGAAATATGCGCCGAAATTTCAAATTTGATAAAAAAACCTTTTATAGAATTGTAATGTATGATTGTCAACGATTTGTATAGCAAGATACGATGTATTTCCAGCTGATAAAAGCATGCAGTTGGCCTGTGCTGCACTCTGCATATCCATTGATTGTATATAGAGCGTGTCAGCACAAAAATAGAAAAACACTATCATATTGGGATTTGATATTGGATGCGATAATGCACTTATTACACCAGCACATTCACTCCATTGCCAAACACCATAATCTATACCGATTTGCTGAACATTACCCAATTCATCATTCTTGGTGAAGCGCACCACATAAGTCCCCTCTGAAGAATACAAAAAAATAATCATGGAATGAGAACGTGATATGAAAAGATATGCGATGAAGTGACACGTGACATAACGTATGTGCTTGAATATTTAATCGATTAGGTTTCATTCAATGTAGCAGCTGAAGAAAGCAATAGATGGAATCGAAAGGAATGTTCTTCAATGAAAGATTCTAGTGCCTAACGCACCTCACATTCATTAAAACAATAAATGTTAGCATAATTTAAAAAATACAACAAGTGAAACAAAAAAAACCAACTTACCATTTTGTGAGACGAACAAAAACCGGGACTGCTCAGAATAATGCAACGACACAGCGTTATCATGATATGGAAGTGAAACTGTATTCATAATGTAATACGACGTTGAATCTGCCTTCTCAAGCTGCTCAAAATAAATATGGCCAGCAGACGACAGAACGAATATTTCGATACCACCCTGTTCACGAGCTGCTGAAAAAAAACAAATTGAAGAAATAAAGAAACCGAAAGATTACGTCTTTGTTGCATTTTTCTGTTCACATCTAGGAAAAGCCAAACTCAAGCTGAAGAAAATTCTTTACCATCAATAAATTGGAAAGTATCTATGCGTCAAATCGCTCCTTCACAAAACATTTTATAATCATAACAACAATAATGGCCTTTTGAAAATATTACCATACATGACGGTCCTTATATTACATCATATCATTAAGATCTAGACACAACCTACCAAACGCCATATCCACAACGGTACCTAACGGTACAACAAATTCAAATTTGGGATCATTCGACAGTTCACCAACGTCGTAAATACGAACAAAATGTTCCGTAGCTATGGCCACTAATGGTCGTCGACTTGCTTCTATCCACTGCACCTAAAAAGTGATGAATCACTGTAAAATCTCGAATGTTAAAAAATTATAATACGTGCATTTTTTTTCTGGAAAGTTCACACTTTTCAGAGTTCATTTCATAGAATTGAGCTTTCCATCTGTCACTACCTCATTCAAAAAATTCATTAGCTCTTTTCTTCAATTTTTATTTGATTTAGTCACTCGTCGTTAGATTTTATTTTCACCAAACATTCCATGAAAATAATCTTCTATTTCACTGAAGATAACCTTCGCAATGACACTTTTGAAGGCAGTTCCTTTAATAGGGATCCGACGCTTATCTTGCACGTCTCCATTCGCTTTGAAGCGCACTACGATGAACTGCTGATTTCCACATGCCACCAATAAATCTTTAACGCAGCACATCGATACAATTTTGAAGCCAACCGATTCCATATCTATACGCTGAAGCACACATACAATGCTTCTTATTGCACAAATATCAATTAGCAAAATTCGAACTATTCACAACTATAAGGATCGCAACGAACCGGCATATCAAGATCTCTGCCTGAATCAGAGACACAAAAGAGCGCATGCGTACTCAAAAGAATGATTTTGCTCCCCTCTTGAACCGTCGCCAACATCACACTACCCCCAACTCGGACTACAACAAGTGGAATCTGTCCGAAACGACTGCCTTCCGGTTTCTTGTCAACAAGCACTTTCTGACAGGATGTCCAGTATTTCTGCAACAAAACAACAATAAATCATCAAACATAACACTTCTCTCTCCTATCATTACTTTCGACGGCAACGAATGCAAAAAATGTCTGTCACAAAACAGCGAAAATAACATATACGGCCGGATAAGTATTGTGGTTCGAAAGACAAACATTCGATGGTATGTGATAAATTAAGTCATACCATTAGTGAACGCGAGAACTGTACGGTGAGTGGCTGCAACAGTTTGAGACGTGTGTCATTGATGCGTTGAATGTGTTTCGTGATTGAACGCATTTCGCAACCGATAAGAATGGCCCTCAATATTGAGTCGAGTTGTGAGCGGTGGGTTGAAAGTGTTTCCGAAAAAGACTCCAAAAGACGTTTGACGATTGGACGATCTTCTGGTTGAACGAAAATCTTGTGACGAAAGAGTTGTTGATTGTTTTGAGTCTCATTTTCGGTACTTGAAATGACAGTCATTGATTCATTCCTACTCGTCGGCAACGGATATTGTGTTGATTTCAGCGCCTGGCAACCTTTCGCACCACAGTCGCAAAAGAACGATCCCTGTTTACTGTAAATTCACTACACTATCATTTAACACTTCACAGTATCAGCATCAAAACCAAAACCTCTCATTAACTATTAAATGTACAGTTTTTTGTTAAGATGGCTTTGAAAAAATTATAATTCAAATCGTAGCATCTAAAAGAGTACAAGTTCACAAATAAATTTCAAAAAACAACACCAATAATTATTATCACAGATACGGAGTCGATAAGGCACTAAGACTATGAAACCTGTACGAAATATCGTGGCCACGATGACAGTTCACTGCACATACTGAACAAACGCCTTCACCCCCTTCCATTCCGCACGTATAACAATGATACCAATGCTGCAGAATGAACTGCTTCTGGGTTGCACTATACGTGCACAACGGAAGAGCAACTGGTGCTTTTGGTATGGCCGATGAGGACTGCTTCTGAATTGTTCACAATCATCGTTTACAAACAAAAAACTGATGCTTCGAGCATTTCCTTACTTTCGCTATATAACGTACGATTGCATTTAAGGAGTCTAATGACGGATCGATGTGAATAAAAGTGTATGAACAGCTTGCAGATGATTCCTCACATTACGCAGCTGATAACTGTCAATTGTGAATAATGTACAGGTGTTTTTTTGTTGCTTAATTCATTCTTATAAATTGGAATTCATCTCTTTCGAGTTGGAATAAAATGAAGCATTATTACTATCAGTGCGTCATCAAATAAAAAAGCACAAACGCTGTGGGATATACCACTGACGTTCTTCCTTTTATTTTATGAAGAAACTTATACCGTAACAAAGTTTTCTGCTATCACACTGAACGACGGTTCATCTGCACTATTCTGCGATACACTAAGGGGCGAAACAACTTCACTTAAAGCATTGATATACTCCAATATGTCACACATTATTATGAATGAATACGCTAGTGAGTTCGGACAATCGCCTGGCCCACCTTCCAGAATCTGCAATTTGATATTAGTCTTGTAAAATCGCAAAATCATTCATAGACAAAACCGAACGCTACATCAAGTTAAAAAACGTCTTTTTAGAGAACTTGCAATGAAAATTTTCCTTTTGAATTCACAGTGATAGAAAGCACACTCTTGCTGTTGCGTTATAGGAAGAATCTGAACAATTGATGTAATGAAATAACGCAAGATTCGAGTCGCTTTTTAGTAAGTGATCTGAACATAACAAAATCTATCAATCACTCGAACTAATTTACTAATGATTAAAAAATCAACCTTATAATCAGATTCATGAGTATTTGAAATGATATATGCGAAAAGATCACAGAATTTGAAGATCAGCTTTTGATGAATTTTCGAACCACCAACGGAAATCAGCAAAACAATAGTATCACCGAACAAGTCACTTTGATCTGACGATACGCAAACCTGACCTTCTTTCACCTAGAAAAAGCACGGTTTCATGGGAATTTCAATTAAAAAAAAGTAATAGTTGTTATTAAAGAGATCAAAATCTTAACAAAAAAATTAAGGGTGATTATGCAGTTCACGATACAGATTCCTTAATTACACTATGCGATTAAGTTTTCGACACCCGGAACTTCAAAATTACCCAGTAATATTCAGAATCCATAACAACAATGCTGCAAAGCATCGGCATAAGAATACCGATCTGATCTCATGGTAGATCAAAACTTTTTTTAAAAAAAATCAAGGGTGATTATGCAGGGTAAGACTGATTGAAAAACAAGTGTATGATTTGGTGATAAAGATAATTACGGAAGGAAGTGTACAATGATAGTAGTACTACGTAAATCTACTAGAGAGCAGTGTTAGATGAAACCTCAATCAACTTACCAGGTCTCTTCTCGCAGAAAGTGCTGCATAATTCCATCTATCACTGCGACGTACGATCAGTGGACAATATTCAACAAGTTGCTGATGGACAAATTTACCGAACAGTACCTCCAGCATAGCGTCTAGTAACAGCTCCATTTTATCAGGCTCACAATTGTCTTTCAAGTACTTCAACAGTGGATGCAATTGTGAGAATGTTTCCAAAGACACTTCGCTAGCTCTCATCCACTGAGCGAGCAGATGTAGTCGAGACTTTAATGGTTCCAAAAAGATCGAAATTAATGCCGCATCTAGAACAGAGGATATTACTTGCACAGTGAACGATCAGCAATATTTTAGCATGTATCTTATCCAGTCAATTTCATTACTTGCCTATTGAAGTTCAAAATTTAAATAACATTATGCACAGACAGGAACTGGGAAAATAAGATACCGAAATGAATGAAACACTGAGAACAAATGACCAATGGGATGGGGAAAATCAGGGACCGGGAACGTTGGGGAAAGTTGAGGACAAGATTCGCGGTTGATGACACCGAAAATGTGGTCATTCTGAAAAAAACTCGAGAACAATGAAACGGGAATGAGTCCTCGTCTCGACTTTTTCATAAAACGACCGCATTTTCGGGGTCCCTCAGTGCCAAATTCAGGCTGCAAACGACTGCAAATTCCGTTCCCTGACTTTCCTTATGTCCGCCTTTCCTCATCGGTATAAATTAATGGGAATAAATTAATGAAGATATGAAGAACATCAAGTTAACTCACTATTACAACAACTGATCGACGACATGAAACTGATCAATGGAATAGACTGTTTGTTCAGATTTGATTCATTCATAATGCGGTCTAGAAGATTTGCGAATAAATTAGATGTTATTTCATCGGCACTGACCATATCACTACTCAATCCCAATACCAAATCTTTCAATATTGTGCAACATATCGATGGTGGATCCCTAAAAAAAAACATTTATTATTCTAATATAACATAATACAATCAGTCTGTACCAAACCAGTGTTGCAGTATGCGCACAACTTCAAAAAAGAAACAATAATCGCAGTAATCATAACTTACAATAGATTCATTTCACCAGAAGAATACTCAATGAGAATAGCATCCAATAAAACAGGAAGATCGTGCAAAAGTTGGCGTTGTTTCACTGTTTGCATCATATCACTCCCTTTTAGAATTGTGGAACACAACTCAGTTACAGCTGGAGAGCTTAACTGAGAGCTTTGCACCGATAAGATCCAATCCAAACAATTTTCCTTTTCAGATAACTTCCACTCAAGAAAACTTTTCGAATTCTTCAAATGCCTAGAAAATATGATTGAGTGATTTCATTGAAATCTCAACGATAGAGTTTGCAGATAAACAACAAAAAGTTGAAACCTTTTTTGAATCTGACACAACATGAAACGAAGAGCATTATCATACACAGAATTCAATGCATCGAACATCTGTAAGTAAAAAACAAATTAGTACTGACACAATCGAAAATTTAAATCTTCTAGCGCTTGTTTTCGTAGCAAAATAATTAAGGGATTAGCTTAAAGCAATGAACTATTTTCGTAAATATAGTTTACATCTAAACACGAACCCATGTTCCGTGAGAATCAATTAAAATGATAATGAATATTCATCAAATCGCCTATGGGATATAACTGAGTAACTCAGTGGTATATGTATCCAAAAGAAAATAACCTACCTCTTCAGCGGATGGCTGTGCGAATGAGCAAGAAGAAATCGGTGAAGTGAATGAATCGCTCAAAACGTCAAGAGTGTTCGTGCCGCCGAGCGATGAATGCAGCTCGGGATGGGCAACACATGACCATTTTTTAACGAATTTCAGAAGCGAATCATTGAGAGATGCTTGTAAAACACCTTTGGCACTTGGTACAATTGAATTCAACAACTGACTATTTGATAACGACAAGACCACATTACACGAACGTTTCGAATGCTTGATACCTGCACGCTCACACATTTCGTTTCTGAAATGTTCTTTTGAATACAAACTACATGAAAAGATTTAACAAATCGTTGTTAAATACTTACTCAGCGAAACAACGAATTGTGTCGCATAAACCAGCAAGTCTTTTGAGAAAATCATCGGAACATTGCTCTGATTTCAGCATATTCAGCATCAATAGTAATGCATCGTAGCGAACCGCAGAAATCATTTTCAGATCAGTTGAGTTCTAAAAAACGCTGTATGGCAGTGCAGTTATACAATATCATCCTATTCAATATCTTCAAATTAATTTATGGCTTGGGAAGTGCTACTAAAAACATGAAAGCAGCGCGTTTTAAATGTACATGAGATAAGTGACACGAAATGTATCAAAAAGTGTTCCACAAATCAACTTCGAGAGGTAAAAAGACGTACTGTTTGTTTGAGAACCCTGACACCGACGTTGCAGAATGTTTCAATACTTCGTAACTTTGTGATGTCTATACCCGGATCGTCGTCATTGAATGCCTTCAGAATAATCACAGTTCAACCAAAAAAGAGAAAGTTCCCCAATCTCAATTCATCCTACTAGAATGCAAAACACAACCAATGAATATTGCAAGTGTCAAATACCACAGTATACTGATAAAATCCTTACGACTATCAACTTTATCGAATGATCAATGTGAAATTTAATGAATGAATACTTTCATCCCAAAGACACTTGAAAATATCAAAATGCTTTTCATTACCAACTCTGCTAAAGTGAATCAGCAAAAACAGCTTTGAGGAAAAATTTGAATTCAAGCAATCATAAAACTTTGGTGGATTTAGGATACAAATAATGAATGGAGTTTTTTCACGTCACCTTAATAAACTGTGCGTATTTGTCGTCCATAAGAAGAGGACGTAATCTGATAAAGTGATGTAACTGCTCACAGTTAGCACGGCCGTCGAGGATGTTTTTGAAAAAATTTGTTGGAGCCTGAATTTTTAACTTTGAATGAAAAATACCTATAGCATAAGGAAACTTTTCATACATAAGAGGAGCATAAGAAAGAATCTGTGATTCAGAAATCATTTTTGGAAAATTCTCCACGAACAGTGACACAAAACGGATTAAAATTTGCGATGAAATATATCGAACACCACTTTAACGTAGAATGACGAAAGTTCATAGAGAAACTAAATAATCAAAACCGTTTAATTGGATCAAGCAAAATGGACGATTGATAATTGATAGAAGAATTGAATGGAAACAAACTGGTAATGAAGCATGAATTGGCAAATGCTCATCATTCCAATTCGCACTGAAGTACCATTTAAGTAATGCTGAATGAAGTTGTGACCAACATGAATAATTTATATCATTGCATTTGATACGGATCGTTGACCAATCCGGTGGAATGCTTACGTCTGCAGTGGGATAACTAATGATTATATACATGACAAAAATGAAAAGATCCTTCACGGATGACATGAATTGAATGCATTTAGTTCGGCTCACCATCATTTCAGATTGGAACAAGCTTAATTTCATACACCATTTCAACCCTTCAGTTCAGTGAGGATAGATTTATAGAAACCACACCCAATAATCGATACTATTATTCAACAATATTCTAGTGCTCAAGTTGTAAATGAAACAATGAAAGACGGTCAATTTCAAAACTTGCAAAAGCCAACATAAGATATGAATTTCAGATAAGCTATGCCCAAAAATGGCACTGCTGAATTAACAATGTTGAAATTTGGAAAATCTTAAACAATTAAGAAAAGTTTGTTTGAAAAGTAATTCATCTTGATCACAATACTTATCGATCGGAAAACCCATCTTTATACTAGAAAGATGAAGGAATCAAATAAAATGAAACTAATCAAAACTAACCAAACAAATCATTAGCATATGTATGGAATTTTTGTAATGATTTGTGCGGCTTGTCGTCGTTCACACTGCCAAAGAGCATAATATAAGCCATTTCATTCAAGACAATTCTTTTATTGTAATGATTGCGTCCCTCATCGTGACTAAAATTGTGCATCATAAAATACATCAATAGCGAAAATATGGAACGATAATTGCTTATAAGCAACGAAAGCATTCACGAATCTATTACATTTCTCAAATGTAAAAGCTAACGAATAAATCAATAACCTTATGAGAGCATCATGCAGCAAATCAACAACGGTGAGTAGATCCTTGCATAGATCATCAACTGGCAATGCCTCACAGATACATTCGAACAACCACATGTGAATATCTTCACGTGTTGCCGATCGTTCAACTGTTTTGACAATCGTTCCCATTAACACTTCATTCGTCAAAACAGGCACCTCTGAACTTGCTGACAGCAACGCCGCCTCAGCGGCAATCGTTAGGCAAAATACATTCGACGGTATCAATCCATTGGTGACGTCGAGGTAGAGTAAGCTGTGTGCAAGAGAATTCTACAAAAATGTATTAGGAATACTATCTGACAGGAAAACGTGCATATTTACCAGTACCCATGCAGTAAAGATGTATTAACTTTCGGGATGTCTGTTAACACAGTTTCAAAGAAAAAAACATCCAAAAATTTTGAATTTTGCAACACTGCCATTTCACAAACAAAATAAATAATTCAATTTTTTCGTAGTAAAGTAAAACAAAGAAAAAAGTAAATACTGTGAAAAATTAAGAATGAAATATATTTTGCTAACTGTAAATTTTTGGTCGATTGCATTCGAAATGAGAGCATTTTCGAAAATTTTGTATATTGTTGGTACAATGCTCGACGAGTTTAAGTGAGCCAAATTGTCGGCACAAATCGAACACAAAGTACGAAATGCTCCCTTGGCATTTTCTGACCAACGAATAGAATTATTATGCTTTGAGGTGCACTGCTCAATTACGTACAAGCAACGCTCACACATATCTTTTAACTGTAATGAAATTTAATCAATCTTAAATCAACGATTCTGAATATATGGATGGCTCAAGCACATGCCTTTCTTAGTACTGAAAGAATGTAAGTCAATACTGACATGATATAAAAAAATATAAGTTCAATGACATACGCTTGTCGTTGATACAACAAAAAGAGATGTACATTTCGCATTCAGAGCCGCTTCTTGTTGATCGATCATTGCTGGTACATCGCTAAGAATATTTGCTAACCAATCACCAACTCCACTTATCGGGTCATCTTAACATTTGCTTGATAAACACTTTATGTTTTCTATCGACGATAATAACACTAATAATAATAATAATAAATAGTAGTAGTAATTCAAAATAGCTATAATGATAATCACCTGAGGAATCGGTTGACAGCGATTTCTTAATATTATTCTCATCAGCCAGTTTCTGTTCATCTTGAAGTGAACAAACTGCTACATTCCACAACAAATCCAATAATTCATTAATCGGTTGCTCAGCAATAAAAATCAGCAACTTTGGCAAGGTAGCAAGAAAATAGTTTGTCAATAAATATGCGAAATCATTTTTACCCGATACGACCAACTGAAAACAAAAACATTGATCGAAAGGAAGTGTTTCTGTTCAATATAGAATAATGCTACTGAAAAATTAACAAGTGTGAATGAGTGCGGCTCATGAAATAAGCTTTCATAAAACATTTTAATTAAAATTAAGTGAAATTTCGGACGTGAATAATAAAAGTAATCCGATCATACCATATCATACTCAAACATATAAATTTTAAGTTTGAATTTCTCATGCAAAAGTAATCAAAAAAATTTGAATCCTTCTCCTTTTTTAGGATTGTAAACCAATTCCAATTATGTATATCGCTCGAATTCAATCATATTCTCATTTGTCCTGATCGGATATTCAAGTCAAGTCAAGAGCGATGCCTTAGGAGATAAATAAGTTTCGGTGATTAGTACGAGTTATAATCTGTCAACAACCATAAATGAAGACGTCCATTGTTTACTTACATTTGAGATACTCTTGATGAATATATTCAGCGTTAAATTGTAATGTTTACTGAGATCATCACTGTATGTCCGAACTGATTTGAATAAATTTTTATGCAATGATATTATGGTCGCCAAAAAATTCATAAGATTATCGTCCGTTATGTCTGGGTGTTCAGCAACCGCAGTTGAACAACATAATAGTATGAGGCCATTTATTAATTCGTTTGCAGTGCTTAATGATGCGCACACTTCTTGATTCAGGAGCTTTTCCATGTGGTTTAAGCCCTCTTGGCACGATGACACTAAGCTAGAATAACTAGAGAGTTTATTTCATACAGCTTTCAGGCATTTTGAGAACGTTTGAAAATATTATTTATTGTTTCTGTTTGAAGTTACCAACAAAATCTGCAAAAAAAAACTTCGCATAAGAGAGTATATCTATCATGCAAAATTGAATCAGCAGTAATTTTGTGCACCAATTTAACAAATTACAATTTAAAAAGGAATTCAACCTCGATGTTAAAACAACAGTCTCAGTTGACTGTATTTGTCCATGTGTCTGAAACGCACTGAGATAATCACGCACTAAATCACGAATACACTTTGGCACAATATTAAGGACAACCATATCCAGTGGGAAATATCTCATAATCAAAACCTCCATTGCTTGAATGACATCATTCTGCAAGAAAACGCGTCTAAATTATTTGTCCTGTGAAATTCAAAATGAATTTACAGTACAATCAATAAAATGAAGTTTGACGATCACGATTACAAACAAACTGCTGCAGAAACATACCACATTAACGTTACAAGATTGTGGCTGATGCTGTTGACTCTCTGATTCCAATTCTATTGATATTTGATTTTCAGGGTTGAGCATTAACGAGGAAACAAATGCAAATGGTAATGGTGCAACATTTATGAAACAGGATAGAACGTTCGCCAATTGCTCGCACTCGAATTCATCCGATTCAATGAAATAACGCAGTCGCTTCATGAGAAGTTCGATCGCATCGAGAAGTGTTATTAACTGTGAATTCGGAACTGAAATAAATTCAACCATAATGCACCGTGAATCAAGCAGAACCACACAGTTTTGGATGCAGATTTCTTTAAAAAAACTTCCTCGTTAAATTCAGCAACAGACTTACTATCATTATCGAAAAAGCTTTGGTATGAGCTTGATTCATTTTTTTAGTTGTTAGGACCATGTGCAACCTTAGTCATCATCTTGGATTAACTGAGCGTGATCACGGAGATTTTGAATGTTTTTGAGTAATTATTTAGTTCAAGATGCTAGAATCTCAATCACAACTTAAGTTATATCACTACTTGTCATTCTTCCGACATTTGAATAAAGTATCAAAATTCTGATTTAACCGACTTGATCACAAATCAAATCAAAACATTCGGTTAAAAAGTCAATGCTAATTATGATGTTCAGTTCTTAACAAAAGTTTGTGTTTGAAATTCTAGCACCTTGCACTAAATCATTACTCAAAAACATTCAAAATCTCCGTGATCACGCTCAGTAATCCATGATAATGACTAAGGTTGCACCTGATCCTAACAACTAAAAAATGAATCAAGCTCATACAAAAGCTTTTCCGATAATGATAGTTAACCTTCATATAAATAGCAATAATATATGAGCATACGAATCATAATGAATCCGGATGACTGCGCATGCTAATACCGCTCGATGCGCGGGGAAAGAGGGATATCAACGAAGGAAGAATGTAATAAGAAAAAGTCACAAAATATGAGCATATTGCAGAAACAACTACCTGATCAGCAATCACGAACAACAGCAAAATACGGGAATGTTGTATTTCAGGTTGGTAAGAACACAACGGCATTTCGTTCGTGAGAATATTTCTTGCTGTTTTCTAACTAATCGTAAATAACATATTCAACTGCGAATGTTAATGAAATGCCGTTTTGATCTTACCAACCTAAAATAGAAAATTACCCATAATACAAGCAAATGAATTGATAGGAGGAAAAACCACTAACATTTTGATAAACTTATGCATATTCGATGTGTGCAAAGCGCCAGTGTGGATTGTGTCATTTTCGAAGCATTTTGGATAACATACTTCAAAAGCGAAACTAACTCACTAGTCGTCCAATCACCTTCGTTTGTAAGGTGCCAAGCCATTGGTTACCTGAAAACCGGAAGAAAAACTTGCTCAACACAACTTCTCAAATATCAGTACATTTCGATAATTTGTCAAAAAATGAAATTTGGAATACCGACTTTACAGGATGGAACACTTGAAGCTATATTGACAAAATTTGACGGAAGTCTGAACTGAGAAAACCAATTCATCGCTCAATTAGCGAACGGTGTTATATATGAATGCGAAAATTCAGACGAATTCATAAAGTATGTCACAATTCAAGGGGATGCTATTGATTTTCAACTAAATATGGGAATTCAATAGCAAACACAATACATCAACTTGTGCAAATGGTGGAATGGATAATGGTGAATTATTGTTGACTGATGCAAGAAATAAACTAAATCAAATTTTAAAGGCATAATCAGCTAAAAGAAGGATCCAAATAACAAAACAAACAAGCACGAATAAAACAGAATATCATGAATCCCTCTTTCTCGACATCATCGAACTCAATTTTGCGGGTCTATGAGAAATGACCGAGCGACAATTGCAAGCATGACATTTGTCAAGCACGTAGTTGATGACGCAAACTTCGTTTAGGTTCGCTTTTTGAGCAATGCGAACGCATGCTCACCATTTTGTTTGTCTAGTATAAAACGCGTATTACTAAGGCTTACGGTGAGGCTTAACCTCAGCCTAAGCCTCACGCTCATATGGCGAAGTGTGTAAGCACCTTTCGATTCACCGATTACAGACAGACAAACTTATAAATGAGGAAAGCTTGCAGCAATTGAAAAGTTGATAGATAGATAGCAAGAAAGTGACCAGTAGAGGCGAAAGACGGACAGAGAGAGGAAGCACATGGGTTGGTGAAGGGATAGGAATTCCGAATGACATTGTTCACCAGTATTAATACATTCGTATGGTTGAGGTTGACATATTGATTCGAAACATTGCTTTGGTCATCGGGAATTGAAAAAGTGACAGACAGGGAACAAGAAAGAAACAATATTGTGACTATTACAACTTATGGCTTACAATTAGATAGTGACCAGTGCATATATGAATGGATTCTGACGTGACTGCATGCCCACGTCATCGTCCGGCGCGAACAGGACGGAGATTGTCCTACGCATCCTGCCGTTGGGCTCGCGGCCTCCAGCTCCCGGGGGAGTCGTCGCATGTTTTTTTGGTACCCCTGAAATTTTAAAGTTATGGTAGATGTTGCCTACATCATCATTCGTTATTTGAATGTCTAGATCTTAGGTCGTAGTTATGTTCCGTCGGGGTTGTTTGCTTCATCGGTATGTCTGATTGTTCATATAAATAACCGGGAAGGTTCAGCTGCTCTTCTGCGTTTGCGTCTTTCAGTTTGCTGCGCTCCTGATGGTGGGCAAGGTACAAGCAGGACCTTCAATGTTGGTATACTTTTTAATTTGATTTAGATGTACTCTAAAGGGGTTAGCATGTGGTGTGGAGCAGTTGACAATGATGGCATGTGGGGTGGTGATAGCAATTATCCTATAAACCCCAGTCCATGGCAGGTGGAATTTCTTAGAATCTCCTGATTTCGGTATATCATGTCGTAGCAAAACACAGTCCCCAACTCTAAGTGGTGTATCCCGAGCATTCTTATCGCACGTCGTCTTCATTTTATCCTGTGTCTTCTGATTATATTCGTAGGCCAATGGATTCATTCTTTAAAGTGCCACAAACTTGGCATCAATCGAGCTGGAATGAGGCACTGTGTGCAATAAAATACGAATCACCTCAATAGCTGCAACCATTCTCGTGTTCTGACCGCAAAATGTGACATCACTCTATTTCTAAGTATTATCATAGCGATTTCTTCCGAGGGAAGCCAAAAAAAAAACAATACCAACGTTGAGTTCGACTGTTCTTTTGGAGGATTTCTCTGACCTAACTTCCTCATACAGTCATAATCTTATGCTTTGCATCGTCCACTCGTCAAGCCGAACCGATTCGCACCAACCTTATCAAAATATGAGCAAAAAATCATCTCGCTAGAAACTTCACTAGACGTCAAAATCCACATTTTCAAGATATTATGGTGTTTCTACTGGCTGCTGGGTGGGGTGACCCGAGGTTTCAAAGATTCCCACTAGAGAGGAGGACAAAGAGACGTTCAACCTGAGCAATCTACCATTACAGTTGCTACTGTCCTTGTGTGGTTACATTCACGAAGTTCCTTACTCAGTTTTTAGCTGATCGAAGCAACGAGGAGCATGCACGTGCATTTAGAAACACTGACTGAAAACTGTTGAAGATTTCGACACGAAGCCTGACTCATGACTGCCGGAGGGAAACGTAGACTGTCTTTTTCGACGTTACATGCTCTCCACAGAAGAAGAAAATTGAACATGAGTCAGAGACAGCAAACCTTTCTGTGCATATTACTGATTTTCAAACAGTGATGCTCATTCTGTCATGCTAATCTCATCACAGGAATAATATTCTTACCAATCGGACAATAACATGAGTTACACGTCAGGAACAGGTAATAATATTCTTAAGTCAGTCAACAATGAGAATCAACAGAGGACGAGATTTCATCATGATTTTTACAGACGTGTTCCGATTGAATTAATCGGATTCTATGCCAGTTTTCACTTATTAAATATGAATAGTGAAGAACAATAATTACTGCTCTACAAAAGGTAAGAATAAATTCAAATGGATGAATGAAGCGGAATGAGTCCATGCTTATAGATTCATGCATAATCGAAAAACCTATTTCATCAAAAGTATCTCTTATTAGACAAGTGTTGAAAGAAAAATGAAAAATACGATTGAACTCTCCAAACAATTCAATCTGCTAATTCAGGTACCAGCAGGACCACTTGGAGGACGAGGTGAACCCGGCCTTCCGGGTCCACCTGTGAAATTTGAGAGGCTGTCGAGCCCGGTGGACATCGTTCATCTGGTTGTGGCGTCCAGAACCTCGCTGGTCCTTCGATTAGTGATCTGGTTACTTCGAGACATTACGTGATGATGCGTGGACACCTTAAGGCGATGGCATCGGAACGCGCTGTTATCCATCGATGCGAAACTGATTATTCTTCATGAAAATGAAAATAAAGATTGTGTGGAAAGAAAATGAATTCCGTTGCCGTTAATATTGTTTCGTTAATATTGTTTTGATTTCATGAAACTAGCAGAAAATTATGACAATCTTATGGTGTATCGAAAACACAAAGCCATAATCATGATCGCATCGTACCTGGCTACCTTGGATCATTACTTGATGATGCATGAACACAGAACACGTTAAAGTGGTAGTTTCGCAATGCGCAGTCATCGATCGGCGTGAAATTAGTTATTCTTCACGAAAATGAAAACAAAAACTCTCTGAAGGGGAAACGAATTCGTCGATAGTGAGACTGTTTTAATTTCATAACATATAAGAGTGTTTTCTTATAATGATTTTCAAAGAAATATTGCGATGATATCATAAAATGTCTCTCAACCACTCGTGATATTCAGTCAACAGTACGTGTTAATATTTATGACATCAAGGCTCGGATCGTCCATGACCATACACTGTCGCTCTGCTTTAAGTTTAAATTATTATTCATCCAGTTCTTCAAAACGTTGCTGAATAATTAACACATTTTCCGAGAGTGTTGTTCCATAAAGATCGCAACAGATTCGGATTAAGGCGAATTTCTGTCCGCTTGCTCATAATGCAATGAAAATTCCATTGAAAACGTCACATGACGGAACGAATAACATTCAAACATTTCAATTAAATAATATAAATGAATCAACAATTCACAACGAATTAAGCATCAAGACAATAACATACAATGCTCCGCATAATATTACACTTCGAAATCAGATCAATATTTAACTTATTAAATGAATTATCATAATCCCCAAAGTTTATATCCATCCTATTGTTTCTGACTCCTTCTTCCTGGTCATCAGATCATTCCGAAGGCACATTTCCATCTGGATCAGCGTCGTCGTCGCCATTCGGCTGATAAGGCTTAGTGTCAAACTTAATGCCATGAAGCATCGCATGCACTCATTCAAAATAACTCAACAATTGGTCGTTGCGAAGTGATCGATTCGAAAGTGCCACTTCTTTCAAATCTCCGCAACTATTTACATTACATCATGGCTCGGATCATCCTTAAGCATACACTTTCCGTTAGTATGGTAGCTGATTCGACCACTCTTTTGTAACGTTACGATATCGTTTTCATAGATACATAGCTTCTCAGAAGTGACGAAAAATAACGACGATTGATTCCATGCATCTATGTTTTCAAGAAATTGTCTTTTTTTATTCTCAGACAACCAAACTATCACCAAACTGTCTTGATACATGTGACTTCGACAATTTTCTTGTCGACATCACGCGATAACAACTGATTTCATTAATAACATTCAATTCTAAACCAAACCAATTTTTTCCAGCCTATTTTCCACCAATTTTCCAGGTCATTTTCCACCAATCACCACGATTGATTTTTTAGAACGGTCCATACATCTGAGAAAATCCATTCTCCGAGTGCCTTTTATTGGTATTGGTTTCGCACTATTTCGCACAATCGCATGTGCCGTGTGATCACAATTCTATGAAACATTTTTGCTGAAATTGCTAATTTAAAAAAAAAAAACGATCAGACAATGAGAAGAAACGGTAATCAAAAGCAAAAGCATTCAAAAAACGACAACACAAAATTCGATCTTATCCAAACCAGAAAACGTTTCGACCACTTCTCGAAAATTACCGAAATGTTACGAAAAATGTTGTGCTTTCACTTCTACACACGTCAGTCACATTACGCACGTTTGATACATGTACTAAAAATCACAAACTCCAGCTCAACATAGAGCCGAAGTTGTATAAAATGCGTAGTTGTCTCTCCAGATAATGTTATTTTTATGATGATAAAACCAACCAACCTGCGCTGTCACGAAAGAACTGAAAGATACTGGATATAACTGAGTTGATAACTGAGTTATTGATATGATATCATCGATATAACTGAATTGCTAACAGCTCGAACACGTCGAATATTCCTTCACTTCTAGTCATGTAAAGGTTTTTCGGTTTTGACACTTACCTTTTTGCGGGTATTTTTCTACATTTCGTACTTCTTCCGGAAAGATCTCTGCGGTATATTAGACGTAGAAAATTATGAATAATTAAATGATCACCAAATGTTCAACATCGAATGAACCAATAACAATGTATCACTCATAAAGTACAACAAAAAATCCACCCCTGACAACAACAATAAAAGTTAGGAAGAATGTTTTAACATCCTGAACTTCTGCGGAAATGTGCTTTCTCATAGTTCATGAGCGTGACTAGAAAAAAACTAACTTTAGCCTCAATCAAAACGACAGCTTAACCAAAAACGCTAATGCATTTTAAATCCATATCTAAACTACCCTGAAATGTGAAACGAACGAAAATGGAGACCGTGCTCAGTCAGTGAATTCCGCATGATTCACTAAGTTTTCAATTTCACAAAAGCAACAACTACCACCTAAAAGTGACCATTATACTCATTTCAAAATGAATATCACTGATAGTCTTAAACTTTTTATAACCTCAGAATGCTGCAGGCAGAAAAAGTACTTCGAGATTTGTTCCAAAGTTGATCCACAATCCAGATCTTCCACCATTCTGCTTCACCACATTTGCGATAAGTGCTGACAAGTTGAAATCCTTATCGTATCCAATCGATCAGCATTGCCCATTAAACTGAAAAATACAACAACAATGTAACAGGTCGTTGGAAAGCTAGTAAGATAATAACAACAGCAATAGAAGTATTAAGGGAACTTCAAAAAACCATTCATTTTAATGAATATACCATTCATTTAAATGAATATTGCGCTCTTTTGATTAACTTTCCACAACTCATAAATTGATTAAATGAATATATTATAATAAACAAATAAATCATACTTATATGATCTGACGATTTTCAAAATTGGTCACTCTTAAAAATTAAAAAATCATCAATGGAAAAACTTGATAGTGATTATGAAAATAATGTGAAAATAATGACAATACGAACAGTTAAATACCTTGCGTTGCAGCCTTCTAAATCGATCTGCCACACGTTGCAACCTTGTAAATCGCACGCCGTATTTGTTTGCTGCTAACTGCATCTTTTGGGGAATGAACAGCTCTGAAGAGAGTTCTGCCTAGGAATCGCCCCTTCCCCGGAGAGGCGATCATAGTTGCATCACTTTGAACAATAGATTAAAATATCAAAACATCGCTTATGAATAAAATAACAACTACTTATTGAAACACAACTTCACATAAACAATGTCAACAAAAAATAAAACAATAAATTATTTAAACAAAATCTGAAAAATTATTTAAATGATAATGAACAACTAAAGTAAAATATTTTTGTGTTTCATATTTTATAAATTTTTTCGGTAGATTTTATATTTTTTCAAGAAAAATTAGTAACTTAAAACATGAAAGTGCAGCTTAAAACAAAGACTAGTAACCAAACATTTCTATCACAAATATCAAAACAAAATTAACCAAGAAAAATACATCAATTTTCGAATAATAAAAAACAAATGAAGAAAAATATTTTTGGATTTTATATTTCATAAATTTTTTTGCAAATTTTATCTTGTTTTGAACAAACATTAGTAGCATCAAAACAATAAACTCAAAAACAAATTACTAATTCAAAAACAAAACAATAATTCAAAACAAAATTTAGTAACCAAATATTTCAATCACAAATATCAAAACAAAATTAACAACGAAAAACTATCTAACAATAAATAATAATGAAGAAATGAAAAACTGATATTTTTGGATTTTAAATTTTACAAATTTTTTTGCAAATTTTATTCTTTTTTTCGAACAAATATTAATAACCTCAAAACAATAAACT